AGCAAAGAGCTACACAGACAGATCCTGTGCAAGAGCAAGCAAGGAGGATGATATAACTTCTAGATGAAGGATTATGTTTCAGGATCTTTATTCAGTGGCATTGTTCTTTATTTTCCTGTTGCTCTGGCCCTCATTAGCCTCCCAACCACCACGGCATGGGGGCTGCGTACTAGTGTGTGACAAAGGAACGCACGGTCCCCCACGGAGCTAGTCATCTAGCAGATGGCATATTCTGCTTTCACAGTAAGTTCAGAACTCCCCATTGGGATACATGTGTAAGTCTAAAAACTAAAAGAGGACAACATGAAATATATTTCTGGGTAGTAGAGAGCGTGTCCCTTTCCAACCCACTGCATCTACCTCTAGCACTGCTGTTTGCTACATTTTTTAAAATGATTATTTCGATAACAGCAGTGACAGTACTAAAGGTTAAAGCTTTGTGAGCGTGCGGTGCCCTGTGTCCCAGCCTGGCGGGTGTCAGCAGCGCTGCGTCACGACAGTGGTGCTACACCAATTTTTGATTGTGCACAGGTCAGTAAAAGCTCCATGGAGCATCAGTACTACTCTTTAGCTGAGCATTCACACATTTTAAAGAGCGAGTGAAATATAGGAAATCAAAGCGTAAGATTATAAAGGTTAAAACTTTAGCAAAATTACCACTATGGATTAAATGGATTTAGGTTATTGGGTGTGTTCTTTTAAGGAGGAAAATAGCTACATTGGGGTTTGTGTTATTTCATAGGAGCAGAGTTCTGCTTTCACTTTCATCTTCAATACTGTTTAGTTGGGTGGAGCAGCACAGGGTTCATATGAGGCCACAATTTGTCTTTCCAAGTTCAGTTACAATTAAATTCTATTTGGTCCCTAATGAATAATGGTCATTATGAGAGTTTGGCTGATTAATTGTTTAAGGCTGCATCTTGTCTCCTGAACAGATCTTAAAACAAACGGGCCTTGCAGGAAATTGCTCCTTTTAAAGCTAAGGAGCCCTGGTACGCTGGGAAGATTCACCCAGGTGTTACGGATGTGGTCCCATGTCAAAAGGGGAAAAAAAACCCCACAACTTCAAAGAATACCCCATGACTGCTTTGTAGCTCAGCATCCTGCGCAGTGCCCACAGCAGTTGTGTTGTCTGCAAGACTCTTCATGATTCCCTGTTACGCTCCGGAGATCGGCCCTAGATGGAGAATGCAATCTAGGTGAAAAGCACGTCTTGATGATGCTCAAAATCTAACAAAAATGCAAACATTTTTTCTTTTGCATTATTCTTTTCTAAAAGATTGTCTTAAGTTCTCATTTTAAGATAAATCTTTTTCCATGCAAATAAGTAAAAGCCATTAGGAGGGTAATTATAATGGTATTTTAAATAATTCGCTACCATTTCCTTGCCAAAAAAAATCCCTGTGTTCTCATGTTTTGTTTTTCCAAGCTCTAAAATTAAAGACAGAATAAAAAGTTAAAAAGACAGAATAAGCTACTGACATGTTTCCAGACCAAACATGTCTGTTTTCTAACAATGAATTTGGCTACCCTCCGATAGCAATGACTTGTTTGAAAAGCTACAAATCTTTATATATTGTTAATTGCTCTGAAAATGTGAAATGAATCTTTTGAACAAGAACATTTGCAAAATGGAAAACATTTTACATTTAGAATTTGTAATGCTGGCTTTCCAAATATTCCTTTAATATTCAAAACAGTTTCATCAATTAAGCAAAACCCAGAGGTAGGTTTGAATTCCCTCTCACTTTTATTGCTGGCCCTAACACACAAATCAGAGAGGATGTATTTCTAATACAAGAATGTTCTGCAAACCAGTAAATCTGGGATTATCTCTTCGGACTGATTATGTCAAAGCTCTTTAGCCACAGCACTTTTGGAGAGCTAAAAATAAATAGTGGGGGGTTTATACATTTATTCTGTACCTAAATAATCTGTGCGTATTGTGTGTGTCTGTCTACAATGTGAAACATGGTTTCTGGACTTAATGTTTATTTATAAGAGTTCTTTTCCTGGTATGGATTTTGGCAAAGGGTTTAAAAGAAACTGTCCTACTAGAAGTGTTCATGGGATAAAGCCTAGTGCAAGTTTAAAAGAACTGAGTTCAAATCGGAAGTCTGTACAGCAGATTGACATTAGAGCAAAATTTGGCCCAATATATTTTGAAAATGGATGAGAACTAGTTCTCTTCTTTCTTACCAGTGATTAAACAATATTATGCCATTGAATACAGAAAATCGGAATCCTGATTTCAGTGCCACAGTTCTGCACTATTAAAGGTCAGGAGAATTTTTGCATTTATTTGCATGAGAACAAAAGTTCCTACGGCAGTTAGCAGAAAGGTAGACATGTTATCATTTGCCTCCTGGTCATAAAGTATGTAGGAGGAAAATCTTCTGAAGAATAAACACTTAACAAAGAATTTTTTAATTCGTTACGTCGAAGACTCATAAATGCTTTTCCACATAACTCTTCTACTCCCGTGCAGTTTCTCCTATTTCACAGGATTGATCCTGCATGCTCGTGAGAAAACAGAGCTCAGGATTCAGGTACACAGCAGGTCAAGGCATGCTACACGGGGAAGTCAAATGGGGAAAAAACATTAATTTTGTTCTTATTTAAATTCAATAATGGATTGCTGAGAAATAGCTTGATAAAAGCTGGCAATATAAACACTTAAAATAGTACTGCAGGCAATAAATCTTGCGTTGGCAGAGCTGGAATGGATGGAATCCAGTTATTTCAGCTCCCATGATTCCACCGGTATTGGAAGAAGTTCTGTGTCATTATGCAGATAAATGAAATCACATGCTGGGACTTTAATTTGGAGTGATATCTTCAGTTCTAAGCCATAATGACTAATTTTTTAATTGAAAAAAAAAAAATTGATGGCATTTCCTGACATTATAGAAAACATTGCAGAAAAATTCAGCAGACATTTTCCATATTATATTTACAAATATAAATACAGTCATAATATAATTATGAATATATATATTTCCCTGTATTGTGGAATAATGTTCTTGATTAGACAGATTTCCTCTTAAAATTGAAGTTTATTCACAAATCTCTCATAAAACATTTTATAAGGACTCTCTTCACATTCTTCATTTTGACTATCATCTGACTTTCTAAAGGTAAACATTGGAAACTTCTGGAAAGTTGCTCTTATTCCTAGTAAAAATGGTACATTCACTTTCTTAGAATGAAATGATTACTGTACTTGAGAATGGTTACTATTTGCTGCATTGTATTTTTTGTAGCTACATGTTGTTCAGTTATACTTCTGTTGAACTTCTCTCAGACTGATCTCTACCACTCCAGTAAGGTGACGCATATTTTTGTAATACACTCATGAAAGAATGGAGTCCATCCAGTGCTGCTCTGACCAAAAAAGCACTTATGCATTGCTTTTACACATAACTGGAGCTTTTGGGTTTGTTATTTTTTTAAGGATAAGAACTGAGGATATGGCCTGTATCTTGCACAGTTGTTTTTCTTGCTTGGTCCTTACTCAGGTGTTGTTTCAATTGAAGTAGTGGCTAAATTCACAGATTACCAGTTCAGAGATAGGTTAATCTAGTTAAAGCAGCTCAAGATGTGATTTACATTTACACCATATTTACCTCTTGGTGAATAGTATTGTTGTCCTCATCATATCCAACTTATTTTGAGCTCAGTATACTCAAATGACAGGTGTGAGTACAAGGTAAGATAGCACAGTAGTGTTGACTGGAATAGTGACCCCCATACCCATAACTCAGTGTAGTGGAACGCTGACTCATATTCCTGCTTCAACATATCGGTTTCCATTATCGGATGTTCAAGACGGCCTTCTTGAAGACAGAAAGACAAAATATGTTTTGACTTGAAAAGATAAATCTAGAGTAGTTCCATCATAGTATTCATAGTTAATTAGACCAATGCAGCTGAAAGGTGAGTATAGGCATGGGCTTTAGGTACACTATATGTTAGAAGTTGTGAGAAGAGCCATTTGTCTTTTATGGTGTATATTATATGTACAATATTTTTCAGCTAGTTCTTGCAATGAACTTATATTACAAAATTCATCTTTGCACTGACTTGACTGTAAAAACTGTGAATTTATTAGCAAGATTTTTTTAAGTGAAAAGAAGCTATTTCCTTTACCAAGAACACATTATTCCAGAAGGGAGAAGAGGCTGTGTCTTGCCCACACACAGTATGGCTCGCATGCATACCACCAATCACAAGGTGTACAGCGTTCTCACCCCCAAACAGTGTAAGCCTATGCCATTTATCTGTCCTTACCGAGCCTTGATCGAGTTCCTTCCATTCATATAGAATCTTACCAAAAACTATAAAGTGGCTTAGACTACAAGTCACATGTAGGGTTTAAGCCTTAAAAAGTAGTACTGGCTCCCTTTTATTACACCTTTAAAGGCTGTGGAAGCATGTCCAGAATTTGGTCTAGAGGCCTTGTAAAGAACATCCATTTTTGGATTTATTCATCAACATTTTTCTGCAAGAAGAGGAATGGCTTAATGATGCTAGAATGTTAGCTTATGTTCTAACAAACTAAGCATATTTCTATGAAGTGATTCCATGTTTGGTCAACTTCCTTTTGACCACTATGCCTCAGGCTTTAACTGGTATGATGGCAATGTTAATACCTTGCTCGCTTGTTGGAGTTTTGTAAGGCTTTGCTAGACTGGGCTGTACGCTGTTGCTGGGTTAATTGTCTACATCTCTATTCAGGGAACGTCACCAGTTTGTATCAGGAGTTTCTTACAAAAGCATTCTCTCTAATGTATTGGGAAATGAGACCTTCAGTCCAGGTTCTAGCACCCAGAAGACTCCACATTTTGTTTGTAAGATCTCACAGTTAGCAAGAGAAAGATAATTCTGTATTTGAAAGTGTTTTAATTATCATTACAACTCCAGACTCCGTCTGGTATTTCTTGTTTTGAGATTGGTAAACCTCTTTTGGGTTGCTAATAGTATTTCTTGTTTCTTTTTAGCCATGTGACACAGACGACATCATGGATCCATCCTGTAACCAGCGCCCTAAGCTTGCTTTGCTCTGAGGATGATGATGATGGAATAAGAGAGCTTCCCGGGTCCAAGAGCTGAGGACGTCTGTTGGCAGAAAGTAGTTTGTCTAGTTTCCATATGTTAGAGAAGATGCACACTTTTTAAGTACTTCCTAGTCTGATGTAATAGTACCTGATGACGTTTCTCCCCTTCAAGTCAGAGGAAGTTCTCCCAGTCTTTTAGGTGGGTTTATTGATGCTAGAAAAGATGCAGACGTTGCAGAAGTCTCCCATCAGTCCTTGATCTGTCCCAGTTCGGTGTGCAGGGATCAGTCTTACTTTAGGGCCCGATCCAGTCTTTTCATGACTTCTCTACTGGCATAACTCCACTGACCTGAAGTAACCTTTTTTTAAGTTAAAATTACTTTTTAAGTAATTTTCACAGCTTCAACCAGCATGAGCGTTAAGATTGGGCCATTGGTGAAAGTGCTGCAAGGTGAGCTTTGTCCTTCTTTTAACCAGTGCTCGTGAGCGTAATGTAGATACCTTTTCTTTAACTACTGAAAATTTCCATTTTTATGGAAGAAATTTGCAAATATGTTTTGCTAATACAAATTTAGTCATTTATTACAAGTATTGGAGCCCTGATGACTTTTAAAACAAATACTTATTAAGATTGGTGGTTGGGCTTTTGAAAAATGAGTCTTTGATAAGTTGTCAAGTAAAAAGACAGAGTTTTGGTAGAGGACACCATACTCTGCCAACAATATGAGGCAAGAATGAAAATTATTCTACTTTTGTACTCTGCTAAACCGATACATACATGCATCAAATACTTCAGTGGAAGCTGTGAAGTTTCAAGTACAATGAAACCTGTGAAACCACCTCCAGGATCAGCAGAAATCAGTCACCTCCTCAAAGTTGGTCTTTAAGTAGAACAAAATCATTTTTTACACTTTGGTAGTGATTTAAAGAGGATATAGAAAATGACAGGGGATGCTGGTGCAACCTAATGAGCAGTTTCACTGTACCTCAGTAGCACAGAATATTTTAAATCTCATTGTCCACAGCACAATGTATGATGGCAGCTTTGTCAAATATGATTCTATGCTACATTTTTCTGGAGGCTTTTTACGTATAATGTGTGTGTATGTGTATAATATATGTGGTTGGTGTTGACCAGTGTCTGAAAGGACCTGAAACTTTGCAGAAGCATTGATGAATATTCCAAAGGAAAACCCTATCTCTGACCTTCAGTCCAAGAAGGGGAACAGGAATGTAACGGTGTGAGGAGGGGACAGGCTACAATCTGCATTTTCTGAGCCGCACATTTAAGGACTTCAGAACCTCCCTGGAAAGGTTCAGACACACTTCTGCACTCCAGCTCACCTCTACTGACCGATACAAAGGAATGAGGCGGTGCAATCACATTTTTTGGCGGTCTGTCTGCAGCAGGTGTGGCACTGGATTTAAAAATCCTTGCACTCTGGGGAACAGCTATGAAGACCAGACTTACCTGCAGTTCTGGTGCCTATGCCACACCCTCTGTCCATGGCATTACAGAGCTGTGCCCACTCAGGCACACTGACTTGCTGTTGATCTTTTTGAAGCAAAAATAACATACTTTTTTTTTTTTTTTTTAAATGCAAGTCAAGTATCTGTGAATAGCAGTGCAGCCATCTACTGCATTTGGCCTGTGAGCTGTGCAGCACATCACCAAATGTTCTTCCTGGAGGAGAAAAGTGCAGCTCACAAAGAGTTTTTTGCAGGCTTTGCTGAAAAGTGGATGTCAGGATATATTGAATAGCAAATAGGAAAATTTGTTTTGTATTTTTAACTAGGTCAGAACCAAAATATCCATGAATCTAGACAGGTGGTGTGGATTAGGAAGAAGAGCTTGCTCAGCAGACCCACAGTAACTTACATTTCTAAGAAAACTTCTCATAGCAATAACACATAAATGCTTTAGCCGTATTTTGCTCCAGGTGCTCCTACGTGCTTCACAGCCTCCTTTATGTTCCCAGAGAACACAGTCTGAAGTGACAGAGCGTGTGCTTCAGTTTCAGGACTGGACACTCTAGAAGCATTTTTATTTAAATCCCTTTTCTGAAAATGGCACAGACTTGTGACCCGTAGATGATATATAAGGTTAATTCCTTGTGATGTTTGCTGTAACTGCAGTAGTCATTTGGACGCTTTATGGCAAGCGCTTTCAGTTCATACTTCCATGATACCCAGCTTACGTATAGATTCCAGTTTTCCAATTCTGTTCAAGAGAGGTTTGACTCTCCACTCGACCCTCGCAGTCCTGATTTGTTGCGCTGGTGGCTTTGTGACAGCTAACTGGGTGTTTCAAACCAGAGAAGCTATGTGGGGACGGAGACCATGGATCAGGCAGGCTGCACGAGCAGGGACTTTATGGAGAGGGATCTAGAGCTGTCCTTGCGTTATATGAGCTGGCGGAGGAGAGCTGCGCACAGGCTGCCTGCCCTCCCCGGGGAGCCGGCGATGGTCTCCGGCTCTGCACGCCGTGCCCAGTCCGCTCGGCACGAGAGTCAAAATGTTGGCATTCTGCCTGCTCCGCTTACTGCCTCCGCCCATTGCAGAAACTTGGAGACTATTTCTCCCTCTCTCTTATAAATTTGCCTAGAAATTAAAGATGTTAGAAATAGACCTCTGCATCTATGTAGCTCATTCTCCAGTGAGCATCACTTCTTCAGATAATCCGCTAGTTCGAATTCTCCACTATTGAGACTACATTTTCATACCTACAATCTCCAAATGTTCTAATCTATTTTTGTACACTGGCATACTTGTTTCCTAGGTTATTTCTCTCTGTCTCCCCTTGTCTCTTCCTTTCTGTGAAATAGGTTGTGAAATTATTTTGATTAAGCTGAACTATGTATATTAAGAAAATGGTTTTAGGATAACTTAAAAAGAATTTGTAAAAAGCAGTTGTCAAAATATACAACACTGTAAACAACTTTTCATTTTTATTCCAAAATAAAGAAAATTAAGTGGAAAAGGATTGGAAGTGCACGTTATAGCCATTAAAATAACAAAACTACAGCTTTATAAGGGAATGGCCGTGGGGCCATAAGCAATTCCTATACCTCTATTTATTTTCCACATAAAGGCGACATTGTGAAAAATACTGTTCTGGTACACGCTGGTGTTAATCTTTACCTGAATACTTGCACCACACTGCCCTTCAAATACTGCAAATATTCCAGTAAATTTAAAACGGCACATTTTCCCATCAAAGCAAATAGCTGAACACAAATACCTCCGCAGGCACATTAGACACTCCGCTTTGCAGGTGCTAAATAACTTCCTTGTAACACTACTCAGTGTCTCAACACATTAGATGATCCTTTCCTCAACACCACCAGATAAATATAAGCACAGATACATGTGTGAGCTGGCCATTCCATAAACAGCACGTAAACATTCATAGCGGTCAGGCGTACGTGCTGGCGGGTGCACGGCCGCGCTGCCATATAGCGGCTGCACTGTTGTTTTCTACAGTAAAGCCTATAGACCAGAGATGGTTATTATGTAAGTAAATACATGAAGTCTCTATAGATTTTTATGATCAATCAGGGGGAGAAAACAGTTACTCTTTGCACACAGACATTTCAGGCAAAGCAAGGACCATCTTGGACACGACCTTATATAGCACATAGTTTGTTCTGTCACCGATTTCATTTGGAGCCTTAAGGACTCACGCGGGTTTGCAGTGGTGCCAGACCCTGCACAGAGAATCAGTTCTCAAGCAGTGTTATTCCCAAAGAATGGTCCTACTCAAGCTTCACCTAGAAAACCCCCTTCCTAGACAAGTTTAAGACCATCCCCTTTAAAACCATAACTGATGCAGAGTACTCGTCCTCTTTGTACTCAAAAACATTTGTGGTGGTGGAAATCTCTTGTGTACTTCAGAGTGCAGATTTCAGTGACCGAAAGCGCTCACTTCTTATGTAATTGAACAGTGCAAATCACTTCTTCACCCACTGGAGCTATGCACGTTACCGAATCAGCCCTTGCTTACCTTCTAGAGCTGCTGTAGGCTTGTAAAGTGGCAAAATCCCAACAGTCAACAAAGAAGAAAGAAGAAATCCCACTCTTCCTGCTCTAACATAGCATTTTTCAGAATTACCAAACCCCAATTTTTAAAGGAAGCTAAAAGAGCAACTCAGGCTTGCTACAATTCCTGTGCAGGTCTCTGTGGAGCCTCACCTGCTTTACCTACGTTCCCCATGGTTATAGTTTCAGGAACAGAAGCTAACAGTGTCCCATCTAGAAATCAGTTGGAGGCTTTAGCCTCTACTGTAAATTAAGGAATACGAAATTACTTACACTAAAAGGAGAAATACAATAAAATAGGGCTAATTCCTGTGACTTATCCTTTTAATTTGCTGGTTTGCTTCAGAATATATTTGCTTCACAGACACTGTCTGTCGGGTGGCCTCATCTGCTCCTCAGACCAAGTGCAGCTGCAGTTACCTCCAGCACCCGCTGCCAGAGGGAGATGTGTTTTGCCGCGTGTGGTTTGCTGTGGGAGATAAACCTGAGAAGCCGGAGTTTGGAGAGCCAGGCTCACTCAAGCCAAGTATTTAACTCAGGATGATCTGTCCCACATAACGTTCACCATCGATTTAAATGCTTCTCATGACAGGCTGCTTTATGAGCCTGAAACAAATGATTCGGTTGGTTTCTTTAAGTCTGTTTCTGACAGACAGGAGGGTGTCTGTTGGCATTGAGCTAAGGTAAGGGAATCCTTTAAGAAGAATATTTGTGGTTGTAGAAGGGGCCCGGCTGTGCAGGACTGAGGAGTGGGAAAGGCTCTCCTGGACCTCAGCAAATGCTGTTATGACTCGGCCAGTGAAATCTTGACTTTTCTGGGAACTGATGGGATGCTTAACCCTCAGCTCAAAAAACTCACTGAGTCAGAAACCTTAGTGCTTATTCCAAACCAAGCACCAAAATCCAGTGGCCTTTTTTGCAAATATTGCTCTGGATGACTTCTGTGTGGCTCTAGCTCAAGTCAGCAGCAAAACTTCAAGTCAGCTCAGCAGCCTTTGTTCGCTTCTGTGCTCCTGG